AGGCGTAAACAAATCACAGACAAATGTTTAATTAGGATGACATGATTCAAGACTAAAGGCATCACATGAACAATAAATGACAAAAAACCAAAATTACCAACAAGCCAATAAAATAACCTCAAAAGGAGGGCACAAAGGACTTGATTAAAACTGGATATTTTTTAAATGAGTAAATTCACATGATTTAAAAGAACGAGTAAAGACAATTCTTTTCTTAGCATGGCCTTCACTTTGCGGGATAATTTTCTTACGTTTGGAAATATGGAAATGAAACATTCTCCTAAGATTTTTTTTCTCTTTTTTGGGCTGTCATTTCGATCACCTGTGTGGAGACTACTGTTTCCTTTGCTCTGGTTAATTTGTCTTGTTAACGATATGACCATAAACGGGGGTAATAGTAGTTTATTTTACTTTTGCAGTCCCTGATGACCCACATGACTGATATTTGTCTCGTTATGTATTCGGATGTTTATCCCTGGTCCCTGCTACTGCTTATATTTACTTGTATTTGTGCTTTTGTTGTTTTTACATAAATTTTGTTTAATTTTGCTTTGCTTGTTCTTGTGATGGTCAAATAAATAAGAATTGAAGAGATGGTACCCATCACGATTAACCAAGGTAAACCTTTTGACCATTTGAAGACTATCGTCATATACACAGGCCAAACTAACTACTATAACAGATTGACTAACAAGTACAAGAGGGAGAGGATTACTAGCAAACCAAATGACTGACCCAAGCTTTCTCCTTCGTTTGTGTATAGTTCTCTTGAATGTAGGAATATCAGAATGAAACATTCTTCAGTGGATATGTTCAACAAAATGACAACAAGATCAGTTGATTTTCACCAACCCTACAGTCACAGGCAAAAGCTTAGTTTGGATTAGGCCTTATATAGAGCCAAATTTGCTTCAAAACCATCCAATTACAAATGGGAAACCAGGAAGCATAACTGCCCTAAGTATTCACTTTCATTAAATAAGACTTGATGCTTTACATGGTGGAGAATAAAAACAGGGCTTGTGGTTACATCATGTGGATAGATCTCCCTTGAAAGAGGTACGGTTCTGATAAGAACTGTAGAGTGTGTGCTTGACGTTTCATCCAGCATGCTCTCGTCATCCTCAAGAGTGGAGCCTGATTAGCCATGCTCCAGATTTTACAGAACAATTGTACATGCATACAAAATTATGTACAAATATTGTTTCAAAATCTGGAACACGACTTTCATTGTTGGGCTCAAATCAGAACATAATATAAAGTGCTTACCGAGTGAGCTGTGTTGTCAGCAATGCCAATTGCCAGTGATGTGTTAAACTCCAGAAAACTGTCTCCAAGGGACTTGGTCTTGTCTCTTCATCAATGCTACAGCTAATAAAACCACACAGTCAAGTCAACTAAGATCAGGGCCAAATAACATACAAATAGACATCACTGCGATGTCTTTATAGTCTTTAAGTTTCATTTTCGTATTGACCTTTGTTTCAACTCTCTTCAATTGTTGGTTGATCAGCAAACACAACTCATGAAAAGTCATCATTCTAAAGTTTCGAAGCAGCCATTTTAAACTGACACCCCTTCTACTTTCTTAGGCTCTTTCAACAGCCCCAGAAAGAAGAAAATTTAGACAGTCCAAAATCGTCTGATTCAATAGGATTTTGTGTACACCAAAGGGGGTTGGGCCAAACACTCTCTGATATTTCACGTTTTACCTGCCATCCAAAATTTATCAATGGTATTAAATTATGGCTCCCCATACACAGGTGTGTCACCCAGGTTTACACGAAAATTAAATTAATCCACAGAGAAGGACCTCCGTCCTTGTCAACTTTTGGAAAAGTGAAGAGACCTGTAACATAATGACGTCATGCTTAGTTTCCTAAGGCAGTGAGGTGGGAAGAAATAACTGTCCAAGTAAAAAATAATAGCTTGACGTCTTTATGTTTTGGGTCAATATATGAAATATATATGAGTCCACAGGGGACTGAATCAGTGAATTACACCTTTAGAATAACCAACAACATTGGACCCACGTACCATTTACCCAGCAGGCAGCAGCAAGAGATCAAAGTCCGATCACCTCAACAACGAGCACAGGAACCCCATCCTCAAGAAGTTGGATGTACCATGAACAGCGGCTCACTCAGCGGCTTGTGCTCTGGCTTAGATGGACACACACAAGTCATTACAAACATGCAAAAGGAAGATATGACAACACAACATGAGTGTNATTATTTATTCTGCATGCTGCCGCCATAGGCATGGAGAGCCTCAATCTGGCAGATAGTACAATCGTGTCACAATCAGCTTCTGAAACATTGTTCAATCGTATGGTATAAGATCCGACACAGCATGCACAGAATGACCAAGCAACATACATGGAAATCACTGAACCGATTTTGTAAAGATCAAGATCGAGATTCTGCATGCCTGGGGCGGCGGCAGCGTGCAAAGAGCGAATTTTACCAACTGTGGGCTAGCATGCCATATTGTAACAACCTGAAGCATTACACCTTTAATGTATTTGACACAGAAAGATGGCTTAAGTGAGTAAAAAGTTGGCTGATAAAATAAAACAAGTCCACATTTTTTTTGAAACGACCCTTGTAGAATATGTACACCCATCCTTGTACGTGATCTGGATCCAGGAATGAGGACATTTCAGTACATTCCTCATTCACTACAAGCAGCCTGTAGATGCAGCTTCTGTCTTGTTTCTGTTCACTTTGGCACAAATTGTACAACC